TGGGATGGAGTTAACAGGGAAAATTCTGGGATGGAATTCATGGGGAAAATTCTGGGATAGAGTTCATGGGGGAAATTCTGGGATGGAGTTAATGAGGAAAAATCCTGGAATGGAGTTCATGGGGGAAATCTTGGGATGGAATTAATGGGGGAAATTCTGGGATAGAGTTCATGGGGGAAATTCTGGGATGGAATTCATGGGGAAAATTCTGGGATAGAGTTCATGGGGGAAATCTTGGGATGGAATTAATGGGGAAATCCTGGGATGGAGTTCATGGGGAAATTCTGGGATGGAGCTCACAGGGGGCAGAAGAGCAGAAATCCTGCAGCAAACAACGGATGTAAATTTGCAGCTGAATAATTAAAAATCCCTGATTGAGATGAGGCCCTTTCCCATCAAATCCAGGCCCTCTGGATACCCCAAGTTCAGGATTGCTCAGGGCTCCCTCCCACAGGTGTTTAAATTCAGTGTTTAGTTAAATTTTTTTTTTTTGGAGGGGAGGGAGGGATTAGATCAAAAATTCATTAAGGGGAAAAAATAAATGAAATAACTAAACCCTGCTTAATCACCAGGACAAAAGAATTCCCATTTTTCCAGCCCCAGCTTTAGTTGCTGAGGCAGAGCAAAATAAGCTGCTTACTGTTAAACCAGAAGTGTCTTTTGTTCAGGCTGTTCTTTAATACAAAACTTCGTTTTTTTAGGGGGGGAAATTCATCAGAAAAACACATTTTCTTTGACTTCATGAGAATCAATTGTTCCTGGGAGGATCAGGCCACGTGCTGCCAGAGCGACAGATTTGGGGGGAAAAACGCTGGGGAAGATTTGATTTTTTAAAAAATAAAAATGAAAAAAAAAAAAAACCAAACCAACAAATTCATCACAATTTTGTTAAAATTCAGGAGAGAGCAAAAAAGAATCTGGCAAAACTTCCTGTTAACCAATTACTGCAATTTTCCAAGACGAATTTTTTTTTTTTTTTTTTGGGAACAGGTGGCAAAAAGATAAAGCTGGGAAATGCTGTGATGTGTTCCCTTCCCCACACAGCTGCTCACTCACACAGGGAGGTCGGGGGGAACCCCCCCAGAGCCTCGACCTCAGCTCCCCCAGAGCTCCAGGGGCTTTGATTCCATTTTATCTTGGGAAAAAAAATATTCCATTTCATCTTGGAAAAAAATTTTATTTTCTCTTGGAAAAAATTTTATTTTCTCTTGGAAAAAAAATCCATTTTATCTTGGGAAAAAATTCCATTTTCTCCTGGAAAAAATTTCCATTTTATCTTGGAAAAAATTCTATTTTCTCCTGGAACAAAATTCCATTTTCTCCTGGAAAAAAAGTCCGTTTTACCTTGGAAAAAATTCCATTTTATCTCGGAAAAAATTCCATTTTCTCCTGGAAAAAAATTCCATTTTATCTTGGAAAAAATTCTATTTTCTCCTGGAAAAAATTCTATTTTATCTTGGAAAAAATTCCGTTTTATCCTGGAAAAAAATTTCCATTTTCTCTTGGAAAAAATTCCATTTTCTCTCGGAAAATTTCCATTTTCTCTTGGAAAAAAAAATCCATTTTATCTTGGAAAAAAATTCCATTTTATCTTGGAAAAAATTTCCATTTTCTCCTGGAAAAAATTCTATTTTATCTTGGAAAAAATTCCGTTTTATCCTGGAAAAAAAAATTCACTTTTCTCCTGGAAAAAAAATCCGTTTTCTCTCGGAAAAATTCCATTTTCTCCTGGAAAAAAATTCCATTTTATCTTGGAAAAAATTTCCATTTTCTCCTGGAAAAAATTTTATTTTCTCTTGGAAAAAATTCTATTTTATCTTGGAAAAAATTCCGTTTTCTCCTGGAAAAAAAAATTCACTTTTCTCCTGGAAAAAAAATCCGTTTTCTCTTGGAAAAAAAATTCCATTTTCTCCTGGAAAAAAAAAATTCCATTTCGATAAAACAACATTTCAATACCTGATGCAACTTGGCCAGGACGGGTCCAGTTCTCTCTTTTTCCTCATATTTTTCCACCTTGGATTGCAAACGTTTGTAATCCTGCAGCGTCTGCTCCCGGCGCTTCACGGCCATGTTCAGGCTTGGGAAGACACTGCTGAACCTGGGGGAAAAAATTAAAAAATAAAAAAAAAAAAAATAAAAAAAAAGGGAAAAGTTTAGGATGGGAAATTTTAAAATTTTGGGTGGATGAAACGTTCAAGGTCGTTGGTGTAGCAGGAAGTTCCTTGCTGTGACAATGGGAGAGGTTTTTCCGAGCTAAACCATCCTAAAATTTGGAATATTCTTAATTAATGTGGTGTTTCAACAATTGCTGGTGGGAAAGAAGAGGTGGAGAAGTTGAAGTAAAAGTTCGTGAAAAATAAATAAGGAGTGGAAAATAAATATTAACTGCTGTATTCGATTTTTGCACTTTTTTTTTTCCTTTTTGGATATTATTTTTTTGCTTTCTTTCATTATTTTTTTGCATTTTTGGGGGGTTTTTTTTCTCTTTTTGGTTAATTTTTTGCTCTTTTTTTTGTTAATTTTTTGCTCTTTTTTTGTTAATTTTTTTCTCTTTTTTGGTTAATTCTTTGCTCTTTTCTGTTGTTTTTTTTTTTTTCTTTTTGGTTCATTTTTTGCTCTTTTTTTTGTCAATTTTTTTTTCTCTTTTTTTGGTTAATTTTTTGCTCTTTTATGATTCATATTTTGTCTTTTTTAAGGGGAATTTTTTGCCCTTTTTGGGTCACAAACCCAGCTGAAGATGAGCCCTGAGTTCCCCCCAGAAGGATTCACAGCACCCAACAATTTATCCAGGCCATGGGAAAGATTCCTATTATTAAAATGTGTTACAAATTGAGGAAACATGAACATCTGATGGAGAATTATTTTTGAATGTGACAGAAAAGGGAAAAGCAGGAACTGGAACGTTGCTCTTGTCTCTTAATTCCAGGAAATCAAATTATCCCAGGGGATACCAGGGATCAAATAGGTGATGCTGTCTCTGGAGAGAATAATTTAATATTTAGAAATTAATGTTATTTAATTAATGAAATTATTTCATATTTATAAATTCCAGAGTGATTTTATGGAGTTGAAGGCAGGGATTGGTGGTGAAAAATCTGAGCAGCCGGGTGCTGGATTTTATTTCCATGAGGGAATAAATCTTTCCCACCTCTTAAAATGGATAAAAAAAATATAAATATAAATCAAACTCTGGGGGGGCATCAGCAAAGATACAAATGTCACTCGATAAATGTAATTTGCTTTGGATGTGACCTAAATCCACGGTTCAAGCAGAACCACGGGAGTTCCCAGCCACTCCAACCCCATTAAAATCCCATTTTCTGCTCGCTGGACCAGTGGGTGCTGAGGGAAAAATTCCATCCCTGAGCCTCAGTTTGTAAAGGAGCCGGGGAAAAATGGGAATATTTGTATCCAAGAGTTTGTGTGGAGCATCCCTGGGCTGAGACAGAGAGGCTGATCCAGGGATGTGATCCCTCAATCCTGCCCAGAACAAATTCGTGTCAATATAGATAAATATAAATATAAATATAAATATAAATATAAATATAAATATAAATATATAAATATGAATATAAATAAAATATAAATAAAATATAAATATAAATATAAATAAAAATATAAAAATAAAAATAAAAATAAAAATAAATATAAAAATAAATATAAATATAAAAATAAATATAAATATAAAAATATATAAAAATAAAAATAAAAATAAAAATAAAAATAAAAATAAAAATATAAATATAAATAAATGTAAATATAAATATAAATATAAATACAAATATAAATACATATCCCATGATATTCTCCCTCTGTTGGGATGAGGAACAACCTGGAAAATTCATCAGGGAGCTGCTCCAGCTGCCCAGAGAGGATCAGATGCTCTGCCCTGACATTGCTTTTTATGGCACCATCCCACACCATCCCATGGTATTTAAATGGGAGCCACGGCCTGGATGCAGCAGCAGCTCCTGGGCTGCTCAAATCTCTTCCACTTCTTTGTAAAGTCCAAAAATCTGCTGGGAAAAGGGTCAGGGAAATAGGGATGGAGGGCAGGGGTGGGAAGGAAAGGTTGAGATGGGATAACGGTTTGGGTTCATGGAATCGGGGAATGGTTTTTTTTGGGGGTGGAAAAGGATTTCAGGACTCTCCTGTTGGGGCTTCCACCGGCCCAGGAGGCTCCAAGCCCACTCCAGCCTGGCCTGGAGCATTCCCAGGGATGTTTTTAGGCCGGGTCTCCTCACTATGGGATGTCCTTTCCCCGTGTGGCACACACACAGTGCCAGCAGCTCCAGGTCGCAGCTCCTGCAGGAATTTCTCCCAATTATTAACGCTGGGAAGGATGGAATCCAAAAATCCAGAGCCTTTCCTGGTTTATTTTATGTTCTGTCCCTGATGGGGGAGGTTTGGGAAGGATTCAACCTCACACCTAAAGCAGGGAATAAAATCAAGACCACGGGGATGAGCTGAGCTGTTCCTCCACAGTGGGAATCCAGACATGGGAATGTCAGAGGAGATTCCAGGCTGGGAAATCCTCAGTTCCCTGCTGTGCACCAAGCCCTGAGCACAACCAGCAAATCCTGGAAAACCCTTCCTGAGACATCCCCAAACCACTGAGCCTCGTGCTGGCACCCAAACCCAGCTGTTAGTGGCGTTGTCCTGGCTTTTCCCTGGCACTTCCCGATGTTCGTGCCTGAACGGAGCCACGAGACTCCAGCAAAGTCACACTCGGCCACTTCCACCCCACAGGGAAGAGCCTGGGAAAAAAGCAGCGAGGGAGGACGCACAAGACCATCAGCAACGCGGTTTCCATTTACTTTGAAGTTAAATCTGGGTTTTAAAAAGAGAGAAAAAAAAAAAAATTTAAAAAGGCTCGATTTTGATTTTTTTCTTTTTTTTTTCTTTCCCCCTTTTTATTCCCGGTATCGACTCGGCGCAATTTCGCAGCCCGTAATGGAAGGACACTGTGCTCAGGCAGAGCTTTAAAAAAAAAAAAAAAAAAAATATCTACAGGGCTGGATCTGAAGAGGCTGGAACTGTGTAGGCACAGCAGCTCCTGTCTCACAAGGACTTTTAATGCATAGATTATACGCTGCATTTCTGAGAGCAGGGGGGGCCCAGCTCTGTGCCCGGCTCTGAGTGCCCTGAGCTCCAGCCTGGGAATCACGGAATCCCACCTTAAATCACCCCATTCCACCCCCTGCCACGGGCAGGACACTTCCCACTGCCCCAGGCTGCTCCAAGGCCCATCCCAGCTGGATTGGAAGTGTTTCCCAGCTTCTCTGGGCAACCTATGCCACCCTCATCCTCACAGGCAATATTTTGTTTAAGTCTCTCCTTATTTAGTTCAAAACCAACCCGATCACTATTGAGGTTCCCTCAGTGTGGTTGTCCTCCAGCAGAGAAGGGTTGGGTCACTTGTGGCTTCTCTGGACACCACCAATGCTCCAGCTGAGCTCTCCCTGTGCCCACTGAGCCCTCCCTGTGCCCACCAAGCTCTCTCTGTGGCCACCGAGCTCTCCCTGTGCCCACTGAACCTTCCCTGTGCCCACCAAGCTCTTCCTAGTCCAAGTGAGCCCTCCCTGTGCCCACGGAGCTCTCCCTATTCCAGCTGGGCTCTCCTTGGATCAGTCCAGCTCTCCCTGTGCCCATCGAGCTCTCCCTGTGCCCACTGATCTCTCCCCACCCCAGCCACACTCTCCCTGGTTTAATTTCCACGCAGGATCAGCTCAGCTCAAGCAGGGAAGCTCAACTCCGGATTGAGGCAAAGCTGCCTCCGGCTCCTGGAGGAATGAAGGAATCCTGGATTCCCCTGGGATTCATGGAGAAGGGGTTTCAAGTCCTGCCCAGGTTTTTTCTCCCTGTGTGGACAGAAACACGATCCCAAGGCGAGTGCCAGGGGTGCCAAACAGCCGTGCAGGGGCAGGGGTGCCAAGTTACCCCGAGGAATTCCTGACTCCAGTGTCTCCACAACCATCTCATGCACGTTATTGACAAATGCTCGCGGTGCAGAGCCCGGCACAAAGGCTCTGCAGAGCCCCTGCCATGCACAGGCACGGCCAAGCCCTCCAGGAACGGCCCTGCAGGGATCAGAAGAGTTCTCCAAAGCCTTTGGCCAAGCACCACCAACCCCTCCTGGCAGCAAAGGGACTGGGATCAACTGGGATCAACTGGGATCAACTGGGAGGGGAGCAGCAGCCAAAGAGCCCTTTGGAGATGGAGTCTGAACAACTCCACACAGAATTTCAGGGAAGCTCAAGGGAAGAACTCCAGGGAAGAGTTTCAGGGACATGGGGAAAGAGCAGGGAAGCCTCACATGCAAAAATCTGGGATGTTTCACTCATCCATTCCACGCACTTGGAGCGAGGGAACAATTCCTGTCCCTGTGGGATGCACAGAGGAAAGCCCTGGGGCAGATGTGGGTGTTTATAACAAACCAGGGAATCAGCAAGGCTGGAAAAGAGCCTTAAAACCGAGTCCAAGCACCAACCCAGCACCACTAAGCCACAAAGTGCCACATCCATGCCTTTTCTGACTGATGGTGACTCCTGGGCAGACTGTGCCAGGGTTTGACAGCTCTTACCACAAAAAAAAAGGATATTCCTAATATCCAATATTATCAATAATCCCAACACCATCCTCCTCCCTGTGCTCCTCCACAGGGAATGAAGGGCCTGGCAGCCAAAACCACTCCCAAATCCCTCCCAGCACCCTCTGTAACCCAAGGCTTCCTTTTCTAAACTCAAACCCAAGAAAATAAAAAAAAAGACTCGGAAGGGAATTTGGTGGGAATGGTGGCAAAGTGAAGGTAAAGGAGCACACGGGGGTATTAGAGCCCCTGCCATGAAAGCAGCTTGAGGAATAAGCTGCTGTTGTTCCCTGTCACTTTTTAGGGAAGGCTGCTGAGAGGGGATTACAGCCCAGGCAGATTAAGAGGAGCAGGTGAGGGGAGATACGCAGGGATAACGAAAAGAAAATACAAATTACTCTGCCCGTGCCTGTGGGGGGAGAGAGAGAGGGAACCTGTCGGTGAACTCCTCACAGGATGACAGGTTATCCTTGGAAAAAAACACCTAAATCACCCTGGTCCCTGCATTC